TAAAACAGATGCAATGAGTTCGTTTACTTAATATTTCGTGAATTTCAGTTAATCTATTTTTTTCCATGCAGTTATGCCTAACGTAATTACCGCATAACATACATATTTCCTTCCCCCGTTTTTCTCGATTTAAGTGGATTTTGTTGTAGCTCTTCAGCAGTGAGTTCGTCGCCCCCCCCCCCCCCCGTGGATACTTCCGGAGTATTTCATTGTGTCGTGATGTGCTTGATTTGTACTCTGGCTGATTTTTACGGCCGGTTTACCGAATATTGTTTGGGAAAGAAAAATATGACATTTCAGTTTTAAAATGTCGTAAAACGTAGCGATAATTCATTTTCGTTTTACGAGAGTTCTGGGGTTAGCTTATTCCATGAAAATAACTAGATACGAGTGCACAAACAATATAAATGTTATCTCGACTGATTTGAATAGGCAGGCTAAACGCTTCCTAAACTATTCTGGGACACATGCATATGGCTGCGTGCTTAATTCCTGCCGCGCGCGGAGACAACTTAAAAATATAAATAATATAAATAAAATTATGAAGATATAGATTTTGCGCGCTAAATACAACATCCAGATCGAAAAAAAAATACTATACAGATATTGCATTAGTTCAGAATTGTATTCGGTGGTGTAGACATGAAATAATTGAGAGCGTTTATGAAATGGCTGATAGTTGTTATTGTGTGCCACGAGAAAAGCCCGCAGTGCTACTCAGATCTCATTTAATGTAAACTCGGATATTATTAGTTTTTAAAAAGTAGTTTGTGCTTGTTAAAATCAGTGCTCGCGACACAGGCGCGACAAATAACGAAATTAAACGTGCTGAATTAAGAGAAAAACAAAACAATCAAAACTCGTGAAATATATTAACGCGTTTCATAACACGTATGGCGTTTAACCCTCTTAATGATCAATATCGGCGCTCGCGTTCAAATGTGCAGAATCACTTTAGCAGGAATATTTACATACTACCATAACAATAGCTATTCTCTCTCGTGTTTGTGCATTTCATCGTTTATCTGAGCTCTATGGCGTTTCAACCAGAATTGTGAATATTCATGGCCCAATTGTGTGCAGTGTATATGTACTAGTAGTTGACATGTGAATAAAACGTTATGATTAACTCACCCTACCCTCCGAAAATGAAAGAGTTAACATTCAATGAGTTATTGTTTTATGCGGTCTTATGATGATGATTACACTCAGGCTGTCGGGAAGAAAACAGCTTGGTATGTGCGAAATGAGTCACCTGAACTTGATCGTACCGAAGTGATACGTGATGTCCACGATGACTGTACTTGGCCTGTTCAGTGCGTTGATGCTACCTAATTCATGAATGGTGGTGATCAGGTCTTTATTAATGAGTCATTCATCGGGGAATTCATCTCACCTTTAACCAGTAGACAGACACAAGTAGCGTTTTTTTTTTTCAAGAAAAAAAAATGATATTTTTATTAAGTTTGTCTGCACTCGCTCATGTGTATTGTCACAGCAAATATCCGACGCCAACTGATGTTGATTTCGTCTAGTCTAAATTGTATTAACCGCGCGTGCCGCCCATCACCTTGTTCCACCTCCCCTGCTCTTTCAAAAATTCAAGTCCTCATCTCTGAACCCAACTGAAACTGTATATTCGCAAGCTGATAATTACGTTAAGGCTCAGCGATGGTGAGATGATTGACGTTGATTTAATCGCAATCTGCTCTGTTGAAATCAATGGGCATACACGCTGACTCGACCATTCACAAATCGTAAAGTGCGTTGTAATACAATGTAATGGTTTTCCTATGTTCTCCTCCAAAGAGCGTTCCGAGTGTTGATAATAACACTATACGTTGCTCATAACTCAGTTGGACACGTTTCGGTGAATATTGAGAATTATTTGAATATTATGCTCCGATGCAGAGGTTCTCAGTTTGAAAACTGAGGTTGGATCGGGTGAGCTGGAGGATTTGTGAAACAAAATGTCATGGGTCAAAAAAAATAACATGTTCTCGACTTTTTAACGTACAAAAATTAGGAAAAAAGTGACTAAAAAATTGTCAAATCAGTTTGAATTGCTCGTATAGTGAGACGAGTGTGGTAACAATTACCGCATGAACACGTACAATTTGTGTTATTTGAAGTGACCCGGGTGAGGAAACGGAGCCAAAACCGTTACACATTCTCCAGTATCTTTTGCGCATTGCCACAACATCCGCGCATGCTCTGTCGTCTCTAAAAACCAACGCGGTTTTGAAATAGCACGGGCAAACCGATCTTCAGTCATTTGAAAGCGAGGCGCCTACACGCTTCTAACAAACTGTAAAATTCACCTAAATATGAACTACAATCTCTGTTCTCCATTGCTAAAGGTAAACTCACTGTAAGCCAACAATAATTTTAAATGTTAAAACGAAGTTATTGAGAACTCTAAATATTAATGGCGTCGCAGATGACCCCGCGATTAAGAGCGAAGAAGACTAGTGTAACTGTGACCGTGAATGAACCACACCCTTGATTCAAACACATTTCATTATATCATGAAACACCGCATTGTTCGATGATGTTATTCCCTAAATTTCTATCTGAATGCTCAAGTACATTTCCCTTTTGTGTCGTCTTCTATAATTACCGATTCCAGGTGCTTTTAATAGCGCGCGTCTCAAATAACCTGCCAATCACCGAGTGTACCGCCCATCAGTTCATTCGTGCCGCTTTTGATGAAAAGTTTTGATGGGAAGTGATTTTATTTTATTGTAGCGAATACAGATGCTTAAAATGAAACAAAGCCATGTATTGTGCTTGACTTGACGTTGCCTCCAGGGCTCTGCGTCCGATCTTTTGTGCATCTCGACAGAAATCGGAATATGTTTCCAACTCGCTAACTCAATCTGGAATTCAGATATAAAACAATTATGGAAAAAAAATGATTATCAATTTCGTTGCATTTCGGAGATATTTCTGTCGCCCTCGGGGACTGGTTAGAAGGATTTCATCGGCTAGATAAGTGATATCGGCAACATTAAAAAAAAACTCGGCATAGCTGAAAAATGGAATGTAAAAGAAAATCTAGTCGATCGTGAACAATGAATATTTTATCCATGCCTATCTTTGGGAAAGACTGAGATAATAATAGCAGACTCAACAAAAAGCACGATTATTGAATTAAATTAGACTAATTCATATTAATTGCAATTTCTGGTGAATTATACCTAGATTTATGGGTTTCGAGTAATACGGGCAAAACATATGCAGTTCTATTAACGTCATTGTTTGCTCAAATTACGCCATGGTATAAGTATTACGCCATCATTGATAGCCTGGTAACATCGATGAATGCACCCGATAGTAACCCACAATGCACAGCACGCCCACGTGATCACCGTCACAATGGGGTTGTGTTAAACCGAGAAATTGTGATGATTTAATAGAATAATAGAAATGCATTTATTCACCGTTTTACTGGTAATATACGCGACGAGTGAGTATGGATAGTGATCACTGTGTGTGTAATAGACGGATAAACGTTGAATAGCAGTGCGATATCCAATGTCATTCATCGATCGTGCTGGGGAACAAAGCAACTCGAAGCTATGGAGAGATTTTCGTTCACAGTATATACCGAATTTTCGTGATTGCCGTGATCTTGATGTCTGGGAAAAAACTCATGATATAAGCTAATGACAATTTTTGCAGATGTCACATAAATCAACAGTGGTCCCGTAATTTAATTCGGAACACAACTAATTGTTATTGCAAGTCTTCAATTACCTATTATGATTAATTTGAAATCTTTTCATTTATTTAGTCACAAATTTCAAATAATATATCCTGGTATATTTTGATAGGGTTCTTCTTCCAGTGTGTTTTCTTTCTCATTCGGCGCCCATTTGAAGTTATTAATATTTTTATGAAGTCGCTGCTTTGATGTTCGACGCCTTCATGAATATTACAATGGGTTCTTCCAGTGCAAAAGATGCCCCACAGGGCTGCTGCTTTTAGGAAAATCTCCACTCTGCTCCGATATCCACACAGGAGACTGGTGATGGGGTTGATAATTACAACGATGTTCTCGAGATAAGGGTAAAACACATAATCCGGGGATAATTCAAATATGCCGTGATCTGTCGAATCTTTGTGCTAATTACAGCGCGTGTCAGGTTTTCAAGTTCACTCACGTATGTGCTTTCTGTATGAGCTGTCAATTTACTAGTATCCTTGCCGAAAAATTGGGGAAAAGTGACTGAATGATCAATACACTTGTATTAGGGGAAATGTATGTATTGATGCGGTCACGATTGTTTTGTGGAGTAGTTAATGCTCATGGTGACGCGTTTCTGACTCAACTTTGAGTGCAGTGCGCAATTGGTGGAAGTACGCATTCATTGTTCAAAAAAGCGTTTTGTTGGTTCAGCTTTTTCAAAGCTTTTTCATTATGTATCCCATCCATTGAGAATTACCAGTGTAGAGTTTCCTCGATCTCTCCACCCCCCTAGAGTTTCCTCGATCCCCCCCCCCCCATCCCCGCGCGCTTGCGGATTTCAAAATCTTCCATACCGCGGTAACGGCGTTGATACACACTGTGTGAGAATAACGCATTCTGTTTAATTGGTACACTCTTACAGGGAGGATTACACTAAGACACGCTTTCCGATCAGCTCATCTCATCTCAGCTCAATTCACAACTAGACATTATTACATACACAGCGGAAATTCTAAAGATTTACCCCCTCCCTCTCTCTCTCTCTCTCGTATTTCCCCCAGGGAATGGTAAAAAGTAAGCTGTTTATTATACGCTAGACACATAGCCGTACCGGTAAAAGGCGTATGGATGCATGTTGTTCTTCAAAACTCTTGGAATAATAATTGGGTAACGAACTCGTTATTCTGGATATGGTTGTTTGACGTAACGCCGGGGAAGAACGATGCTGGAAACACAATGACTTCGGCCTTTAACTGAAAGTATACACCGCGTCTATAGGATATTACCAAACACTGTTAGCGTGACTGAAATGAGCGACCGACGAGGGGAAGACACAGAGCGGCATGGACAAGTAGCCCCTATTCCGTCTGCTGGATGGCGGCGTGGAGACGGTGAAGATTCAATGGCAACTCAGACAGAGGTGGTGAGTATTGAATCGAACGTATTTATTTTATATTAATACATTGTTATTATAGTAAATTGCCAGGTTATACTAGTACCATTTGTAGTACCAAATGAAATTAGTGTGTACCAATTTCAATCTCAGTCTGTTTTTAAGTGAGAATGAAATGTAAACAACAGGGATATTGGCAAAAATGTCATTTCATATAACATTGGTACAGAGTATCTTTGGTGATCTTATTGTTGTTTTATTATTCGTTTACTCGACCCAACCCGTTTTGATGGTAGACTGGTATATTCGTACTCCCTACACATTACCATGATTCTGTGTTCTTAAATATATCATGGATCTATAATATTACATCTCATCCGTTCGATATCCTATTTATCGGTGACGTAGCTAAAGAAAATTACAATGCCATGAGCGTTAAAGTTGGCGGTGAACTCTCACAAGACGTTGATTCTATTGTAGTCCAATCAGTTATGTGTACTCATCTCCGAGATTCCCTCTGTGTATGTCTCTGTCAGTATCGTCTTCTATCCCACCCCTGGTATCACACTCGCTGATTTCACTTTGCGACTCCAGCGCTACTACCGTCCTCTTCAAACCAATTGTCCATTGCGACGCCACCCGATCTAGGGATATTGACAAGATGTGGTCTAGTCCGACAGGAGTCGGAGTAGGTTTATTAGCCTCTTTGAGTGTTACAAACATCGTTAAATCTCATTTCACAATTTTTTACTTTGTGGGTATAGATTTTGAAGATATATCGCTTATAGCGTGGCTACCGTTGATGACGTTTGATGTATGCCAAATAGTTCACTCCACTGAAAGGCCCGACGCCGAACACAATGGAATATAGTAACCATTTCCCTCTAAAAAGCACACCTAACTGACTGGTTATTTGCAACAATGCAGTCAAGGTACGATCAGTGCAGAATATATGTTTTTAAGGATCGTAAAGATACTCTGTCTCCATGTACTGTGAGAAATGATATATTATTCATTGTTTTGGTGGGATTACAATGCTACCGGGAGAAAGGGTGGTATTTTACTCAATTTAAGTTTTTTTTGGAGAATTGGCAGAATTGGATACGTCGAAAACTGTTTTGCCACAGAAGCCATATTCATGTTTGGGACAACATAATATGTGCGGCCATCTCTTTACCAAACAATTTACTGTCCTATCCTGGCGTCAACCATTCCCAGTCAAACACAACCAAGGTATGCTGGAAGTCGCATCTTTTGGAATTGACCTTCCCATTTAGTCACCTATAAGGTGGGGGAACCCACCCTTTTGGTGTTCAGCCTATGGTAAGATTTGAACTCGGGTCTACCGAACATGAGTCTGATGCAATAACTATTACTACGCTACGGGTTTGCTTAAACCATTAGAATGCGCTATCTAAAAATACATCGGATATTTTTAAAGTCAGTTAACTTTTTAAATATTAATTTATATCTCGATGGCGGCCGAGCACGTAATAGCTTTAGTGGGAGGTGTGATTTGAGAGATGGTTGAGGGTAATGTTGTATTCAATTAGTATCGACTTTCACTGTTTTCTCGTCTGGAAGTGATACAAATGGCCAGCATGTATGGACAGCTGAGCTGCGCTAGACCGTTGTGTACATATTTCAGAAGGCGTGTTGGTATATTTGAGAGCGCCTGGGATAATATTGATACACGCTTTAAAAAAAAAAAAAAAAAACACTAAAAATCCGGTGTTAAAGTTAATTTATTACGCGACGCGTGTTTGGGGAAAAACTCTGGCGTAGTAACATGGTGTTCCATCATGAAAAACGACGGAGAATTGTGAGAGGACTCCAGCTAGATTCTACGCGTATTTTATTCTGACTGAATATACAACAGACTTAAAAACGCTGAGAAATGCGTCAAGCAGAAAATGTAACTATAGAGGCCCTAACATCGATCCGCAGTCATAATATTCATTCAGAAATCACCAAACAGCTACTTCTTGGTAGCCATCAATGCACAGTCGACAGGGGAATAAGACGTTTTTTCCCAGTATAGAAACTCCATGCAGAAAAAAAGAATCTGTCGCTATTTGGGGTTCACCTTTGTTTCAGCACTTCATTAATGCCTCTTCTTGCTGTGTCTGCGTTCATCCAACCATGTCTATACGCAGAACGCAATGTACGCTGGGAAATATATCATCCAGATCCTTCAGAAAAGGGCCGGCCCGTATACATGAGGGGTTTCGAGTAGAGTGTTGACAAAGTACAGGGGGTCATAGGCCAATCATTCATAATGCAACGAGGGATGTATATAGTTGGAAAATTAAGTTTAGGCCTTCGAAATAATGACTATTATCTCGATCGTGAAATTTTATTGACTAAATTCACTTTGAGTTTCCGCGGTCGATAAAAATCACAAATACGATTCATTTTCCGGACGACTTAACAGCAATGTGCACAGTGCCATCACAGCGCGAACACCGTCATGGGAAACGACGCAAATTCTTAATTCGACGAATTTCAACTTATAAAATGGAAGACGCCATGGCGGTGTCATGTTTAACAGTAAAACATCTACGTACAACAATTGTGTACTATTATATCTCCTTACCATCGATTTATTCTGAATGTAAAGATAAGATTTTATCAGTATCTGGCCTGTTTTGATTTGAAACAAATGAATAAACCATAACAAATAATTATAGATCTTTTTAAAAAGAACATTCATTTGTGGGTTTTTGTTTTTTTTAATAGAAAATGCACTGGTAAAATTGTGCCCGCCAGTATAAAATCGATCGTGCAAACAGCAGTGCGTGTGGCCGGTGAAAATCTTCGTCTGGTACATGTCGATTATGCGCTGTTCATTTCATAAATTCTGCAATACCCCTGGAAGCAAGTAACTTATCGCAATAAATACAAATGAACAGGAGAGACATGTCCATTGCGAACACGAGTGGTAAACAAAAAGAAACTTTGATGACCTCTGACCATCTTCGGGGAGTGGAGATATTCCGTTAAACGTTTCCCGTGGTTGCTGCACGGTTATATTAAGCCATAGATATATGGGACGGCGATGGTATCTCATGGAGTGGTAGGCTGCGTACGTGTTGTATGATGGTATGGGGCTGTTAAATTTCTCCAGCTGTGTAGTTGATTACCAAACCCGGTGTTTTTTAATTGGGATGTATCAGAGTGAAGTCACTCGGGGGATCGACTGGTCGGTTTAGTGGTATGTGCCGCGAAGTTGTGAAATGATCGCAAACTGCTGCTTTTATTAACGACATCCCTGTCTCATAGCCAGAGTACAGTTGTACGCTGTGTTTTATTCGTTCGTGTGTCCGTTTCATGTGTACTGGTAAGTTCAAGCTCGCTCACTTTTCTTGTTGTGTAGATCGCTGCGGCGTTGACACGTTCACATCATCATTAACGCCACTATTATTTTAATTTACGGTGAATTTTGCCGGACGTTTCCCTGTAATTGGTATTGTGCTTGTGACACCGGTAGGTGGATGGACGCTACCGTGGTTTGAGTATAAACGGCATTCCCCATAGTGACACCTCGATATCAGAAAACTATGCTCTCCTGTCATCTATCACTTTCATCAACGGTGACACATTTTATACCTTCGTGTGTCTTCGATTTGAATCTATCTAAAGAAAACATGATTGCTCGTCGTATGGTTAGTTGTTTCCGTTGTCATGGACTTTCAATCGAAATACGAAATATGCCGCTGAAATCATTTGTATGGATCTCCACCGAGGGCGCTGTAACAGTTGATTTAGCGATTTATCGGTATGTCCGCGTCATGTGAATGAAATTGGTGGAAACGTAAACTTTTTAAATTGTGAAAACTAGGCAACGGCATTTAATTGAATACAGCCTGTGTCTGAAATAAATATGACGTCGAAAAATCACTACCCAAATACTATTTTGGGAATGTTTCTAACCAGAATTCCCCGGTGCGGTGTTCGAATTTCTCACTGTTTACAGTTAACCACGCGTTTGAAATATTTTAGACCCCGTATTATGAAACCAGTAGACCCTGACTGTACAATATTTAATAAACTGGATACCAAAATAGTAAAAACCGCTTGGGACGCCATTCACGCATGCGCCTGTGTAGGTTTGCTCCGACTTCCGGTACGTGATGGAAGTATCTCACGCAATGACCTCATTAATAGAATTACTACAATTGTATTACTTCGGATTGAGACATTGCATCTGTTTGCATTGAAACTCTATGACATGTCGTTCGTGAGCATCTTGACGCGATCTCCCAAAAAACACTTTCCACCGTTAATATTAATCAAGACGGCAATGCGTACAGCCTAGGATGAAAACATTATCGCTAAGTTTCACCGACTCGGTAGCGTCCCGGCCAGAGGAAGCCATCAACCCATACCCCACACGGATATCATTGATTCTCGGCATTTATTATATTAACATTCTCAACATTCGGCTCATTACTGAGTGTAAATCTCCAGTGATTGGTTTCAATACGGAACTTTGATATATTGGAGACTTGAAATAAAAATACGAGTTGAAGTCTCTGGGAGATCTGTGTTAATCGTGGACACAATTGCGCACGCGTGAACTGTTATAGGGTTTTCCACGTTACTAGTAATCGGCGTGTACGGTACCGAAATAAAGTGACTGCCTTTATATAGTAGTATCAGGAAATCTGACCGTTCCTCTACAAACCGGTTTAATTCAATACATTTCTTCCGCTCTTGGGCATGGTTCACTGCCACCTGAGATCTAGCCGCTTTCTTGTATATATATCGGGTCGATGTGATAAGCAAAAATGTGAAAATCGAGAAGGTGCGGGTATTTTTTTTCCTTTGAAATCTTACGCGGCCCGCTTTAATCGTCAATGATGTCACCTATACGGATTTTCTATTGTGTCTGATTTCTATTGTTAGACTCAGTATGTATAGAGCGCCTCGGATGCGCGCGCAGATCAGATCAAATCATTAGATTCTTGTAATTTTTGTAATTGTGGTTTAATTAGTATTATTTACGTGCTCTTCAAAGAAGGGCGGTG